ACATAAGTAAGAGTAAAACCAATTATGAACATGTTTTTCACAGACTAACACAAATCTCTTGATGGAACACAAAGCTACCGAAAATAATAATAAACGAGTTATTTTTTTGTAGGAAAAAACACAGGTTGTGAAAGGCTGCACTTTACAGAAATGACTAATAAATGGTTTTACTTGAATTTAACAAGTATATGATTGGTCTATTATTATTTTATTGGTTTTTGTATCTTTTTACTTCAGTAATTTCTGGCAACAGTAAAACAGTTAAAATCCAAATACAAAAATCAAGGCACATCCATAATTACATCTTACCTTACCAAGTAAGATAGATAGATAGATGTATAGAATTTATAGGAACTTAAGAAGGATATATCTATCATATCAAGACAGATATTTCTCCAATAAGTTCAAATTCCAAAGTTCCTAACTAACCAAAGGAGTATTTATCGAATTTCCAAACAACCTTTCATATATCGAATTAAAGTTGAGAATTCCTGATGAATTCAAGAAGTTGAGAACTTAATTGCTCAAAAGTTAGACACCAGCCATCCCAAGCTCCGCCGCCTTCCAAAGTGTGCCTAACAACAACAACAATAGAGCTTTGGCACAACAAATAACAAACAACGAACAACACACACAAAACACACATTTGATGAGTATCCTTTTTGGTGTGTGTGTGTTAGTTTGGTCCAAGGGAGAATTCTACAGATGCCGCGCATTGTTCGGGGGCAACCTTTTTTCGGGCCCTTTGATTTATTGGCATCCCCGGGCCAACGCCTTAAATATTTTGATCCCCTCCCTGCAAGCCTCGCCAAATCACCGAGGGTTGGTTGAATGCTTTGACCAGTTGCTTGGATGAATCCTCGCCCACATTCGATGCGGTTCTTCTGCTGTTTTGGTTCAGTTCAGTTCGTTTGGCTATCCAAATCACGCTTATTGAATTTCATTTTTATCCTGGCCTCTTCGTTTGCTGTTTTTGTTGGTTGTGTTATTAATGGGCCAGCAACCCCACTCTGCTGCGATTAAAGCTTGTGGAAAACTTTGGGTGAGCTGTCAAAAGAAATATTTTAAATCATTTTCGGACCCACAAAATCCCATCGTGGCCCATATATAATAATTTTGCCACTCAAGAGGCAGATGTGTTTTATTAAACATTTTCCGATAAGCATTCTGCAGTGCATAAGCAGCGATTTATTTTATGTCTTATGGCCCATTTTCCTTTTTAAGGATTTACTTTGATGTTTTCTAGTCTCTTTGTGAAATATGAGATTGGTCGGTAGTTAAGCTAAAGCCTTAACCTCGCCTTCGACTATGTCTTTTTGGGGTAAATATGTGTTGTGCTGGCGAGAACCGCAACTTGTTTTGCAATTAAACGCGGTGCAAAACGGTGGCTGCAACAGGTGCATGGCACGCATCACGTATACGGCCCGTGGGCTTCGTGCGTGTTTTATTTATGGGGGAAAGCCCCCTAACCCCATCCCCCATCCCTTTAAATGCAATAAGCAAATGAGCGAACAACGAACGAGCCAAGCGGCAGCAACCAAAAAAGCCTCAAGAAAATGACGTTGCACGCACACGACGTTGAAAAGTCATTAAGTACAAATGACGTTGCTCACTGCAAAAAGCCTTTTCTGCCACGATGGGCGGTGGCCCCTTGAAATGGGTGTGGCACTCGATGGTGGCGGGAGGCAGAGAGGCTCAGGTTGGAGCCGTAATTGCAGCACGTTTGAGCACAGCTAACTGCATATTGAGTAATGCCCGCGAGCAAACGACAACGATGGCAGCAGCAGCAGCAGCAACAGCAGCAACAGCAGCGGCTGCAGCAGCGGCAGGATTGGTAGTATAGCGAAAAAGGGTTGAGAAATGGGTCTTGAAATTGGGTGGGGATTGGATTGCTGGGGGTTTTGGGTGACGCGGTGGCATGATGGCACGGTGGCTGTTGCAACGTTTGCCTTGCATTATTTATGACAAAGCGGGCACCAAATTAAGACCCACTGGGAACCAGGCAAGTCGAGCAGAAGTGCTCGAATCGGAAAACTGGCTCACCACGGGGTCTATCATTAATTTAAAGCTTGATTTATGCATTTTTAGGGTAGTCCCTAATATGGGTTTAAGCCTAATAGAATTCGTTCCTTTAATGGGGAGTACTTTTAACATTTTTATTCCATTTTTGTAGACCAAGGTGCCTGTTATGTTATGAATATTTTTTACTATATACCATATCTAAATTAAGGAAACACAGCTAAGGGAAGAGTACCATCTCAATGCAGCCCTGAAACTGTAGCCATGCCTATGTCGACATCTCAGGATCCCTACGCTGCGAGGAGCCATGTGGCTTTGAGTGTGCGGTTGACTCTATGTTCCAGGTCCCAGTGTGTTCGAGTGCCGGCTTTTATTTACTTCGCGTAATTTAATATTATGCCATGGCAACGATGACGACCATGTCGTGCATCCACTGAAAGCATAAATAATCTGTTGCACGGCAAAATGTCGTGTGGATGTGTACCGGGGCTTGTCTCCATTTGCTTTTTGATAAACCCCGCTTAATTAATTCCAGCTTTAAGCAACACGAGCCCCAATCGCTTTTGGCCAAATGTCAACTGGCGAATTGGGCAACTGACACTTGTCGATAAACCGGTCGCCCGTCCTCTTGTCCGAATCAATTAGGAACCTTTCACGTTAATCGCGCCATATATCAGGCTCTATATATCTCTAGCTAGATACGAGTAGCTCCGGCCATTCCGCTCTAATCCCAAATCCCCCTCGAGGGCCGTAAGCGATACCCAGATCTTGACAAAAGGGCCCGAAAAGGTCGATGACAGGCAGCGGAAGTCAGTAGGCAGGGGGACAAAAGGGACAAATCAGCACGCGACATTTTTCGCGCTATGTTGCTGGTCCTGGATTTTTTTTTTTGGTATTCCTGGGCTAATGAAGGGCCAAAAAGGAGCAGAACAAAAGGCGTGAAAGTCAACGAAACCGAAGCCAAAGTGTTAAAGTACGATAAAAAGATTAAAGTGCACAGACAAACACAGAGGGGGCACACTGAGAGAAAAGGGCGCGACAGCTGTAGAATTCGCAGGCAAATTGAGATAAAACCGGAAAAGACCCAAACAAAGACACATAAGGATTTTGTCGTGGGGAAAAGTGAGGAGCTTTCGCAGCAGGCAATAGGCAATAGCTAATAGAAAATCGGATCAGATTAGATTTAATGCGGCGACGGCTAATTTTTGGGTGATTCCTCATGGAAACCAGGACACCCAACCCCATCCGCTCTCTTTTTTCGAATCTTTGGCGCCATCGCTCCAAAACCAGCGAACAGCTGTCAGCGGCAATACGCCGGCAATGACAGCTAAACAAATGACACAAATGCGGTGGTTGTCAGTATGGGGTTGGGTTTTTTTTGGGGGGGTTTGGGGTTCGGCATAGCTAGGCTGACACATACAGCGAGAGAGATAGATATATGAGTGTATCCAGAAGCAAACTGCGAGCGCTGAACGGCGAGCGTCATCAACATTTCCGCTTCCGGCTGTTTATGCTAAAAGTATGGCGACGACAACGCCACTGATGGGTGGGTAGGAAAGTGCCCACCCGCTGAGCTGTCAGACGCCTTGGCTGCCACCGGATTTTTCTTCTTTTTTTTTTTGTCCCTTCTGGATGAGGAGGCATCTATCATGTTGAGCTCGACTTTCGCCCAGCGTTTGGCAGTTCATTCCCACCCCGCCCGAAAATGCTAACTAAGGGAGCCAAACTACAGGAAACTATTGATTAGGCGGCAATCTGGCGGAGCAGTCGCTGTGATTCTCGCCCTCGGATTATACATCGGAATTTCATTGGTCTTAATGGCCGTTAAGGACACTTGGGGCAGAGCTTGGATTGGAGCTTTTGGGTCTACAAAGTAAGCAAACTACAAAAAGTAATATTAATATTATTAATAAAAAGAATCTATAAATATATCCAAAAATATCTTAACAATTAAACAAAACAATCAAGACCCCATTAAAGAAATTATATTTAAATGCGAAACAAATAAATCAAGGAAGCACTTCAAAGCCATTGGTGGCAGGAACCTCGGTGGCGCTTTGGCTTTGAAGCTGCTAAGCAAACGGCAAAGGACACGACCAAGGAAGCACCAGCTATCAATCACACTCTCCTGTTCTCACACACAGAGATACACACACAAACAAGGGGAGATGAAATAATTATGCTTAGCCTGGCATTCACGTTGCCATAGAGGTCCTTTCCCGGGGCCTTGTCGGGTCCTTTTGCGCTCTGGTTTCATTTACATGATGATGACATCTCTGCTTATAAATAATTACACACACGCACTGTGCGATGTTGTCGCATACATTTTGATATTTAATTTTTATGTTTTTGTTATCTGCCAGGCAAAAGGTAAATATTCTTGTTTGTTCCGTTTGCTGGCTGATTTTTACATATTTATGAGAGGACACAGACGACTATGTCCCCCGGGGGAATACACGGGCACATCCAGGACCATAGCGCAGCTCGTCCAACTAATTGAAAACTAAAATGTCAATGGCAATCTCATCATCCGCCAGCCAGGATCATTCAATCCGACCAGGCACGCCACTCACTCGCCGCCCGGGGTTATGAAATCTCCGCTATAAATATGACGGGCGGAACAAGAGAAAGATGAAAAAAAAATATCCCTGTTAAAGGCAGACCGATTTTTGCAACTCCAGCGCGGCTAAGCACATAAAACGGCTTTTCATTTCGAGGACCGGCAACGGGAATTGTATCGCCATCGCTTCAGGCTCTCGGTTCCAGTCTATAGCTCCGACCATATAGCCTTAAACTCCATCTCCCAGCCGCTCCGGCTTCCGACCACGTTTGATCCTAATGTGCTGCTGTCAGAGCCTGTCGACGTCAGCCGGACTCTCGCCAGCTATTTCGGGGATTAATGTCAATGTGAAAGGATTTTTCCTATGCATTGGAACTCAACTAGCGCCCTTCTCGCTCCGCTCCTCAGTAGCATTTTCATTCACATTCACATTCACTCAGCGAAAGCATTTGGGATTTTGTACATGAATTAAGGAGTATTTTCTAAGGGAAGAGGAGGGTAAGGAACTCTTTTTTGAACACAATTTAATATTTTAACGAGGGCTTTTAACGGATGAATTTAAGTGAGAAAATATCCCTAAAGAGCAACATCTTTTACCAATTCAAAATCAAATTTTTCTATGTGCTTTTTGACCAAAGTAGTCCTGGCAAAAAAAGTTTACCAAATCCAGCTCATAGAACTCCCATACTCCTGGAAGGTAACACACGCAATTTCCCACACCCGCTAGCACAGGAAAAGGGGAAATAACAAGAGGACGCTATGGCCAAAAAGGAGGAGCCCCTTATGGAAGGGCCTAAGCGGATAAACCGCGAGTTGGCCCTGATGCTGGAGGATAAACAGAACCTGCAGTTCCGTAACTTGTGGGTGGAGCCGAATAACATCTACAAGTGGACCGGCCTGCTGATGCCAGTGGCTCCGCCCTATGACAAGGGAGCCTATAACATTGAGATAGACTTTCCTAAGGACTATCCTTTTAAGCCACCTCGCATCCATATAACCACTAGGATGTATCACCTAAATGTCAACGAACGTGGTCAGGTGTGTGTGCCTATCTTGGAGATCGAACATTGGATTCCAACTACTCGGATCGATCAGGTCTTGCAGGTCCTGCTGGCGACCATCAATGAGCCGCAGCCGGAAAATGCTTGGCATATGGAAATGGCTGGGGAGTATAAAAATGATCCTGTAAGATTCTTCAAGATGGCCGATGCCTGGGTTCAAAAGTACAGTGAACGGCGACCAACAGATGAGGAGCTTGCAAAGTTCGCTCGTAAGCGGAAGAAGGCGATGTCGAAGGATTAGCTTTCAAATTCGGTATTTTAATAAGACATTTTTCATAGCCACTAAAATGAAATGAAATTTGAGTCTGAAATTTTTTGGTATTCATGAAATTAGATATATTTGAAAAATCTGTAATCGTAATCATATATATTTCGGGGGAAGTGCGCCATTATCCTCTATTCTGCAGACCTTCGACTTCGAAGTCACTAACTGTTTTATTTTATTCCCGAACTTTAAGTATTAAACTTTATCGACTTGAATATGAAGGCAAAGAGCGCCTTTTATGCTCAGTTCCGAACTCTATTAAAATCGCATTTGAATCTTGTATATTGCCCCAATCAACGCCCATTTATCGATATATTATTTCCGCCACCAATTGCTGGAAATTGAGTTGAGGGACTTTCCTCGATTGAGTCGCCCCCACGGAGAGTTAGTCTTAAATTGCTGGCAGAGCTTTGTTTTCCCCACAGCCCCCTCCTGGCCATCGTATATGGCCATATGACCATCTAATTGGAAGCGTACAGTGAGCCCCAAGCGGAAGGCAGGCAGGACACTTCTGTCTCAGCCAGCTGCGAGATAAATCATCCGCTTCGGCGACAAACAAGGATGCCTCACGCGGCGCTGCTCAGCGAGCGGGCGGCATTAGCTGCCAGTGTCATTGCCATTGTCAGCGGCATATCATCGTCCTCATCCGAATCCTCATCCGCATCATCCGCCTTCGCATTCGTAGTCGTATTTGCAGTCGTATTCCTATTCGCATTTGGATCCGCATCAGCGTCAAAGTCCTGCTGCTGAACCGCTGAAAATCCGTGCTGTGTCCGGGGCCATATAAATTTCAGCAATGAATGAATCAACTTTACGAACATCGAGGACACATGTGACTTGCTTTACGGTCCTCCATCGCCATCCTTCACACTTCATGCACTGAAAGAAAAAGTTTAGGAATAAAAGAAAGGATTTTTATGTAACTTTAACATATATCTTCTGTATGATAATCCATCAGGAATATTTACCCTGTCTTTCGGGTTTGGAAAATATTAAAATTTGTCTTTTTTCATATTCTTTTCTCTCTGTGTAAATTCTTATGTGTGTGCGTTTAATGTGCCTGTGTGTTTTGGGCAGTTCACTTGATATGCTCACTCGCTCTCTATCTGCGACCCAACTTGGACTTGTCAATGGCAGGAGTGGGAGTTGGGAGCCGCTGCTGGATACTTGGATTTGGGCTCTGGAATATGGTAGCCAGAAGCCAAGAGACGGGTGACGGGTGGTGATGGGTGATGGGAATAAGCTGCCACTATAATTACAGCAAAGGCCAAAGGCACACACAGGCGGGCTAAAGATATTTGTATCTAGTTTCTTTACTGCTGGATTTACTGCCCAAACAGATGGAAATGGGGGATAGGGAAGTAGTGGCTCCTGGGGGGTTGGAGTGGGGATACGGTGGCCAGATAACTGGTGTCCGGAGCAACCATTGTGAAGATGGATTACCATGGCGGCAGCGTCAACAGTTTTTCTATGTGCGACCATGTTTTAGTGGGCAGGCCGAGGCGGGCTAGGCGTGTGTCTTGTTAAAACTGCCAACTGATTATTATCACCTTCCAACTGGCAGGCCAGTCATTGACACCCATTGCTGGCGTCGTCCTTCAGCTGGAACATCGAGAATCTGCGATGATACACTTGGAAAATAGTAATTAACAAAGAGATTAATAAAATATTTTATGTTTTTGTTAGGGAAAAGTAATTTTGTGTAAGAAAAGGTTTCATATATGGATTCGTGAAGAATTTCTTTTTAATTTCTTATTTGGCTTAAACACATTTTTTTGTATCTCTAAAAATGCTTAGCAATTAAATCCAATTTTTAAGAAAATTAAGGACTTAAAAAAATGTAAATTGGTTTAATAAAATGTTAAAAAAATAATTTAATTTATATATATATTTTTTTAAATTCCAAATCAACTTCCAAAAATTCCCAACAAATTTTCTTTCTGTACAGTCTCTGTTTCGAGAACTCAAACTTCTCGAACTCGGACTCGGCCACGCCCACCGCCCCGAGTGGCGCCCTCTAGTGTCTGTCACTGGCAGAAGTCGTTTGCTGTTTGCTTTATTTCTCTTTCACCATCTCCATCTCCATCTCAATCTCCACTTGCTGCTCCTCCCTCCACCCACTTCAACTTGCTTTGCGGCAATGAATCGCAGTTTTTGATTAGCTACAGACAGCTGAAAGGACAATGGCTGGGTAGGGAGAGGTGGAAAAGAACGAATTATATAACCGTGGAAACCGCTTCAAAGTTTTTCTTTTGTTTTTTTTTACATAATTCAGTCGCTACTTAATTACTGTTTGCCAGTTCGAAATTAGGTTTCATATTTTTGGTAGGAAAAAGGGAAAGTTGCCAAGAATAATACTTTTTAAAAGAAACTATTTTTATAGAATTAATTTCATCACATTATTTACATAATGCAACATTTTTGGTTTCAAATTGTTCAATTTTGAAAACGTAATCGATTCGCTTAATTTAAAGTAAATTTGCTTAATTTACTTCGTACACTTTGTGCCTTTGGAAATGCAACAAAAATTGATTTAAGCCAAATGTAATAAAGCTGCATAAATGGTCGATCGATTTTGCATTCATTACCAAAAAGACGGCGGGTGGTGTGAGGGGGTTTTATAACAATTTACGACCTGCGACCCATAAAATATGCAGCTTATAAATTGCATAATTTATACAGGACCTCACACACACACACACACTCATACATAGACAAACAAAGTCAGATTGAGATATGAAGCATTGTTAATTCATATATGAACTCGGCTGGCTGTTGGGGCAAAAGTGCTTACAAGTAAATAAATATATAGATATAGTGGAGATATAGCAGAGATATAGGGCTTGCAATTATACAGGTGGAGATGCAAATATACAGATACTGGGGGAAAACTGCTGCCAAAGAGAGCTTAAGCTGGCGCTTTTGTTGTTTTCATTGCAACGCTTTTCTGCCGTGCGCAGTGCTTGTAAAACCAATAAAATCAATTAAAAGGCACTCAACATGCAAACAATTATATGCAAATTTATTTATACACACACATAGCCAACTAGAAAAGCACGCAATGCCAATGCAACGAGTGTGCAAAGAAAGCAAACTGGAAGTGTAGTGAAAGTCAGAGCTGAAAACGGTTTTATGTACCTGTCAAGTGTGTGTTAGATGGGTATATTGTGCTGGGGAAAAGCCTTGATACTATCTATGTTTTTAATTGAATAAATTTAAGATGGGTATTTATGTTTATTTGCTCTAAAAATACGATATAAATCTTAGAGTCTTAGGAGATATCTATCAAATTATAGGAAAGGTAAGAAAAGTATACAAAATTTTAAAAATAAAGTAAAAGAGCGAGTAACTCAAGGAAAGAGACTGTATATATCTCTTTTAAAGTATCAAAATCTATCTAAATTATATAGAAAAACTTAAAAGATCAACTTTCCCAAGGTATCAAGAAGCCCCATAGCCTAACAGTCCAATTCCCCCCTAGTATTTGCATATGCCGTACCAAAAAAAGAAAAGCCCGCAAATAAATATAAATATACATGGACTTCTGGGCAGCAGGAAAAATAAAGCAAAATGGCAACAAGCAAAACAACAACAACAACCAAACAGCTCAAAGCAAAGGCAATGAAAACACCAGGAGGCGGAGAGAAATGGTGGGCGGGGCATAAGGGACGAAGGCAAAGCAGGCAGAGTGAACCTGTTGCGCACAACAACAACAATCCGCACGAAACAAACAACAAAAGCAGCAAAAACAACAATATGAGGACAAAGGTCCTGTGAAAAGTCGCTGCTGCTTGCTGAAAAACGGAATGAAATGGCATGGAAACGAAACAAGAACAAAATCTGGGAAGCAAAAGAGAAAACAGAGTGATTGAAAGGCAGATTGAAAGACTAGTTGAAAGAAAGAGCAGCCAGCAAGAGAGAGCCAATGAGCTGCGCTTGCGCTGACTGAAAGTAGAACAGCCAGCCAAGGAAATTGAAAGGGAAACGAATGGTAGAGAACGTAGAAGCAAGAGAGGAACGTTTGACCAACGAAACAGTTGATAGCTCAATTGGGACAATTTGTGGGGGTGGAGAAAAGAGAGAGCGAAAGCAGCCTCGTTAGCAATGTGTTCCAAATTCCATACCGTTTCCATTCACCGTTGTCAGTCGTCGCGTGTGCGTGAAAATCATTAGTCTTCGTTAGGCGGTCTTTGTGTCAACAACGTGTTGCTCCCCATCCGTGAAAATCACCGACAAACCAACAATCGCCCCTCGCGACTTAACCGCTCGCGTTTTTCACCAGGACTTGGACTAAAGTGTTTGTGTGTTTTTCGTTCGGCCCTCCCATAAAGCGGAGTGTGCGTGCCAAAGTGCAACAAGTCTTAACCGTAATTTAATTGCAACAATTTCCACATTTCCCGATTTGAACAAGTGCAAAACACGACTCGATCGTATCGGCCAACAGAAGATATATCAGTGTCGCAGTGCTCGTGCAAAGTGGAGCATTCATCTCCCAAAAAATTAAAAAAGAAATAAGAAAAACCACAGTCAAGTAAGTTCCGCTTTTTGGTGCAAGTGAAACAGAAAGAAAAGGAGAAAGACAGCGAGCCAGGCAAGAAATGTCCTTATTTGTGCAGCATACTTTTTGGCGCAGTACACAGAAACAAAGACAGTGAAAAGTTTTACTAACTTAACGAATATTTTGTCTAAATTGTCTAAAAAGTGTTTTTAGACTTTTTATAAAAATATGTAATATAAAGATTATTCAGAAATACAAACTTTATATAGGTGACAAATCATCCAAGATCTGCCAGAGATATATATTAATCTTAAATACAACTTATGCAGAAAAAATCCAACTAAAAAATAAAAAATAATTGATAATATTTTTGGTTGAAACTGAAATAATGAAAAAATTGTGCTGGCGGTACATAAATTTATTAGATAAAATTTAATGAAAAGGAAACCCCGCACTTTCAAAAGTTTTTATTTCTTGCTAAATCAGATATTATAAATATTTCCTTTGTAAAGTGTTTCAAGAACAATATTAGAAAAATTATTAAAATATTTTTGTTGGTAATCCTTTTTCAAGAAAAGGTCCCATATTTTTGGGTCTTTCATAACTCAAATTCAAGTTACCTCCCATGTTTGAAATGCCAGTTTTTAGAGCAACACACTTGACATTTTGCACCGTGTGTGTGTGTGCCGACTTCCGAGGTGCTTTTTTGTGGGTCAATGGTCGCTCAAACACTCGGAGGACGAGAGGAGCTGCCAGCGAAAGCAAACACACAATAAAAACGAAAGAAATCATGTTTCTATGATGTATACTTATGCGTATTTATACATATTGCCCTGCTAAGTGGGCTAAACAAAGCCAGCGAATTCCAAGCAGTTGGAAAACTTTTCCCAGACAAACAAACAAACGACCAAACAAATGGCAGCAGTAGCGGCGGCAGCAAACAAAGGCAAACAAATCCCTGGGACATTTCTCGGAATTTAATTCAATAAAATGAATTCCAGCTTTGGGGCACCCAGGGTGTCCTTTTCCACTCTTGCTTTCAAAGTTCGTTTTTTTTTTGTCTTCATTTCTTCTTCTTATTCTCGGCTAAATGTCTGCAAATTAACTTTGCGAAAAGCAAAGAAAAACGCAGAACCAACGAAATTCCATTTGACAAATCGCAAACGTAAATAGATCCTTCCCAAAAAAAAAAAAAAGAGAAATAAAAATGTGTCTCCAAGTTGGGATTTTTAAATGCAATTTAAGTTTTGCGGAACTTCTCGTTCCCCACTCCTTTCCACGCTGATAAATGGTGAGGGTCAAAAGTTGCGAAATTTAACATTAACCTTGGATGGCTTGTAGCTCTTTCCCAGCTCTTTGAGCCCACACAAAAACCTCGTGTAATAGACTCACAGCCAAAAACTAAATCACTGTCATTGTGGTTGGGGCATTCACAGCCCGAAATACGGACACACATGCAGTGGGAAAATGTACAGGAGAGGGCAAGATAATAGCAGTGTTTGAAAGTATTCAAAAAGGCAGGAAAATCTAGTTTTATTTTAGTTTTTGGAATATTTTATTTACAACCTATAAAGTAGGGAAAGACGCTTATATTGGGTGTACCTTTTCAGATACATTTTTGGATATTTTAGATCTTAGTAAATGGAATCTGTATTAAGCAGTGCTTAAATATACAAAGGTTGTACTATTATTTTGCAAGCAATTGTTAATACAAAAAGACCAACCAAAGAGATAAAGTGAAGTGGGTTTCGGGAAATCAGAGTGAAACTACGGAGAGGCAACTATTGTTAGGCAATGATTTGCAATTTGTTTGAAAAATGCATTCACAACCACAAAAGACAAACAATCTGAGGGGGAGTTAAGCCGAGCACAAATAAAACCATAAACAAACGCACCGAGCCAAAGCCCAGATACAGATGCAGTTGCAGTTCCAGATACACATACAAATACCATGTTGCACAGCTGCGGATGCGGCTGCAGTTTGCATTTTGCTAGCAGGTTGCGGATTTTGCTGGATTGCTTTGGCTTTCAGCTCGAAAAGCGAAAGCTGACAGGGAGCCGGAGGACCGCAGAGAAGCGAGAAAATATATAAAATTGCAGCCACAACCGTCAATTGCTGGGCAACCAGCAATGTCCACCCATCCTGCATCCTGCATCCTGCATCCCCCATCCTGCATTACCATTCCAAATCCCACATTCAGCCTCATCAGCAATCCGCGACAATTCTTGGCAAACTACTTCTCCGAACGCTCCACTTTCCCAGCTTCCACTTTCTACTCGAGCACTCCATCATGAACTGCTTAGGGAAAAAGTGGTGGGGAGGGTGTAGAGGCAATTTCATATGCGGCACCCGCTGCACCGAACTGCATACAATTACAAGCAAGATGCAAAATGTGCACCCAAGTATCTGCCAGATACTTAATAGCAGCAGTAGATGCAGATGCAGACAGAGATAGAGAAGCAGCACGAAATGGCTCGGAATGCCAAACGAATTCATATTTGATGTATGAGCCAGCCAGCAGCTAGGGATGTTCAAAGGAAATGCCAAATGAGATGTTTAAGCATATTTTGCGCAAAGAATTCTGGCAGCTCCTGTGAAAGCTGATTGGGAAGCAGGAAAAAGTACGTGAAAGTTGTGAAATTAAGGAGAGTTTTGTAAAAAGATAAATGATGTATAGAAAAATATGGATTACATTAGAGATAAGTTGAAAATGGAAATAATGACCAGATAATTTATGAGAAAATCATAATAAGAACTATATTATGACCGAATTTTAATCCACTGCTTTTCCCGAAACCGAAACACTTTTCCAGCGATGATGGCTCGCCTGCCTGCCAATTAACATGTCAAGTCGAGTGTCGGAAGTTGTTGGTTTTTGGCTCGCGAAAGGCTTTTCCTCTCCGGCCTGGAGAGCTTTTCCAACTTTTCCACGCGATTGGCCGCAACATTCCCCGACACGTGTTCCCGGGGCCAACTTTGTTTTAAATCAATTAAAGAGCAAAGAGGCGGCGAATGTGGGCGAGTGACCAATCCCGAGCAATTTGCGGCACATATCCTGGGAATCTCGGTACAAGCGACTCAAATGAAATGTCACGCAACCAAATGAAATGCGAGACAGGCCAAAACGGATCCACAGCCAGTGCCAGAGCCAGATCCGGACTCGGATTCCAGTGCCATTTGCCATTTGCCTGGGAGCGTCAGGAAGCTATTAAATCTACATAAAATTGTAGAAATGTGTGGCATGTTGAGCAATTACAACTCCATGTTGCAGGAGGGGGGGATATACGAGGGCGGCGGACGCACCTTTCGGCTGACATGCTCATCTGAATGCAAAGCCTGGCCATGTTTCAGTGGTTTCCCCCCCTCTCCCTCTGCGCAACCAACCACCCCTCTCATATAGTTTTGTTCTCGTTGTTGTGCAGCTTAAGAGCCGTTAGGAAATTGCACTTGCCATTCCCGCCTGCCACTCCCACTGTTTTCCACAGCCCTTTTTTCTTGTACTCCTCCGCGAAGTGGGCGTGTGAAAAAAGAATTAAAGTCAAGTGAGCGCACTGAGACTGAATACATAAAACGAGGCAGGAAAATGGGGAAATGCTGGAATTGAGATGGGGATGGGAAAACTCGGAGGCGGAGGCAGTGAAAAGGCATTCAGTGGGCGTGGCTGCATGCACAACAATACAGAAGAAGAAACACCAAACACAGCGCCACCAACATCAACGTCAACGCCAAAGAAAAGCCGGAAAAATGCCTCACCACCACAACAACAAGAACAAGAGCTGCCGGAAAATAAGGTACTCTGCATGGCTATTTGGCCATTTTTTTTAGTTGCCTTTCCCTGGTGAGAAAGGTATAATTTTCGGCGCGACATTTGACGCGACCAGGGCCAAAATGAAATATACAAAAGTTTGCCCATTTTTTTTCCACGGGCCATTCGGGCTATTCGCTTTTCCAGACAAAAAAAAGCTGAAGTCCAAGATCCTAATCGCGCTTAGCCTGAACGGGCAATTATTTGGGCATTTATCAAAGATTCCCCGTTGGAGTTGGGTTAGCTTAAGGCTAGAAATCAGGAAAGGTGACAGATTGTATGATGTATTTTTTAAGTGGAACTGGAATTGGCAAAAAGCAGGGGTTTTCCTTCAGTTCTTTTATTAGTTTTGTTTACCTTTTAAGATAAAAAAGTAATAAATAAACATTAAAAAAGCAAAATCATACACCAAAAATATTTAGGATAATATTTTTCTCTATCAAAAATCTTCCTTAAAACAATTTCCCTTTTAAAGCCCCAACCTATTACCAAGCCAAATCCCCTGTCAATTTCCTCATATAGATTTTCTTGATCCCACACTTTCCCTATTTTTTCTGTGAAAAATTAATTAGCATAAAATACACACCAAAATCAGTTCCGCTTGGGCAGCGAAAGGAAAAGTAAAAATAGCAAAAGGAAAATTATGGGAAAGGGAAATAGAAGAATGCGGGATAATAGGGAAGGGACACGACATCGGGCAAGGGTCAGGATGGAAAATGGCAACAGAAATTGATAAGAAATCTGATGATTCAACTTGTTAGCCAAGAGCGTTGGCAAATGGAGGTTAAGATGGGTAAAAAAGAAGGCGGGAATTGATTGGTAGTAAAGAACAGGATGGACAGCAGATGAAAATCCATATGAATGGAAATTTTTCATTGATAAAAAGATTGAAAGTGCTGCTGTGGACTTTGACTACTTGAGAGGAGAGTTTTATTTTAAGGAAGTCTAAAACTCGTAGGAAAAAGGGTTATTTACGAGTATATAACTTCTTTGAAGAAAGAGAGGCTTCTCTCTCTTAGAGTTTCCTCAGCCGCAAAAGCCTTTAACTAATTTTAATGAAAAACCTTGAATTTCCACGCCAGTTCGGACAAATTATAGAAACCCAAGATTTCAGCAATGGTGTCCCAGCCAATTGAGAGATCATGATGATTAAACTTTCAATTGGCAGTGTCAAGGCAACGCTTTTCCATTTCCCTCTCCTCAACCCATTTTCACCGCAAGCAAACC